TGAGGAGGTGTTAAGAATATTGCAGGAAATAAAAGCCTAAAGACAATAGAGAACCGCAGGGGAAAGGCGTTTGAGTATCTGATACGACACAACAGTTTTCTTACTAGCATTATAAAAAAAATATCGAAGGACGGAGGGGAACTAGGCTAAAAAAGGCCTAGACGAAGCCATTTGGATCCAATAAAGAAAAAAGTTAATGTCGCGTATCAGAACGCAGTCAGGACACAGAATAAGAACAACAATAGCTCATAAATAAGAAATCTCTACCTCTCTACCTCAGGTCAAATTGCTGTATTTTTCAAAATAAAACCTAAGTCCTATTACAGTCTATTAGATATAAAAATTTATTGAGTGGCAAACGACATATAAACGAAGCACAACTAAGGCAACAAACTATTGACAAGTGATATGAAATATGAAAAGATATTATATCAGGTCCTCGCCGCAAATTAGTTGAAGGGACTCCGGCGACGGACAGCACCTGGGACTGGGGCATAAATTTAAAAAACATAAATTATTTTTATAAAACTGACACTAGCCCAAGTGTAGTCACCGCCATTAAGGAAAAATAATAATAACTTTTTGACATGATTTTCAATAGATTAATTCATTCATCTCTATCCATTGACCTTGTATCTCAATGTCTCTATCCCATGAAAATAAATTCCATTGAATTCGTGGCTGAAAAAAAAAATTTAGTTCAATGTAATAAAATTACATTGAACACAAGCAGTAGATACTATTACACCCAGTAAGACAGGCTTACAATGTTTATACTACAAAATAAACACATATGTAAATGTTAAGCCGGCTTCGCATGATCCCAAGGAAATTTACCTTGGTGCATAATTGTATTACGTGCATGCAATACGGTTTCGAGAAAAGGACTAAGGGCGAAATTGGCCTATGTTGCAATAATTATTGTTAAACTTGCAAAAGTCATTTATATATTAACTATAATTATTAGAAGTCACGACCGCGACATTAAGCCGAAGAACACTGAGAAGCACGACCATTGACATTATAACTTAAAAAATCGACGTAATTGACTTTAGACAATTCTTAATTAAAATAATTGATTTTACAAAATTCGGAAAATTCGTATTCTTAGCAACGCGTCATAACGTCTAATTTAATACAATGAAAAGAGACAGTGGAAATAATTTACACTTTAACATACTATCATAATAATTCTAGAAGCAGTAGAGCTCCTTGTAACAGTTCGTCCAGAGAAGTACTGCCACCTTATTTATTTCTGCCGCCCAACAATAATATGACCATTGCTGTGTTTTGGTTTGAATGGTAATGGTGCTGGTGAAATACAGGCACGTGGGACTTGTCAACTTATGTCTCAGGCGATGTGCGTAATGGCAGTATCGAGGACAGCGAAGGAAACGGCGGTTTAGGAAGGGAAAAGGTGTATTATTAAAGAGGTTACAGACAGTAAAGAAAAGCAGAAGAAGAAGCAAGCACAGAGTATAAAAAAGGACAGAGATAAAGAGCAAAACATAACTAATTACTAAAAACTATAAAGAGGGTCTGTCCTCGACATCACCCTCCTCGTAAACTAGCAGTTTACCTTAAGTAACAGGCCGGGACATACCCTAATACTATGCTACAACTATATAATGCAAATGAAACAAAAAAAACAAATAACTTAGTCACTAAAATTAACGTCCAGCTTTGCGAGCTTCCTGACTGGACGTCTTAAAATCCCACCAGCCGTACTGACGTCCGCAACCCTAACAATGTGGTCTATATCGGGGTGGACCTTGACAATCCTGCCTTTAGGCCACACTCCTCGCGGTAGGTTACCATCGCATATCACGACGACATCGCCGACCTCTAAATTTATGACCGGTCTGGTGTCGCCGGGTAAATAGTATCTGTCTCTGTCCATGAGGCAGCAGGTGAAACGGCGGTTTAGGAAGGAAAAAGGTGTATTATTAAAGAGGAAACAGACAGTAAATAAAAGCAGAAGAAGAAGCAAGCACAGAGTATAAAAATGGACAGAGACAAAGAGCTAAACATAGACTAATTACTAAAAACTATAAAGAGGGTCTGTCCTCGACAGGCAGTATCCCGAAGATATTTGTTTTTTTATGATCAAAAATAAGCGCCCATTTCTGACCTCCTTGTCATAACTAACGCATTTGCACTTCGGTAATTTTCGAGATATTGGCGCTTAATTTTTTTTTCTACGAAAAATGTAAATTACGATGATTTGGCTTAATCACTCCTTTACACGCATTTGGCTTGATCTCAGATATATTAATAACTTAATTTCGCTAAAAATGTCGATTAGGTACGTTGGTTATGTTAAGAAGGGCAAATATCGCCTCCCATTCACCTGATAAAAAGTGACGATGAGGTCGGCGATGGAGCATGCACACTTTAAATTACCCCGAGTGGCACTGCAACAGTTAGATACCGACGGGCGTATCGCTTACCACCAGATATACGCCTTATTTGTCCCATCGTGGTCCCATTACTTGATAACATTTTAAAAAATCTTCAAAGAATTCTGATGTGAATGAGTGCAAACGAAAGCATATAGTTACTCGTATGAATCGGTATTTAAGTTCTTTAATAATGGTCGATTGAACATAAACAATTGTAATAGGCTATTTTCCTAGTTGAATCCCTATTTCGAAACCAATAAAGCAATTTAATACACATTTATTTACGACAGTGGCTCCAATGAAATTCTATTTTGATGGTGTTGAACTATAAATAAAACTGTTACAGCTATTCTTATACACTTGATAAAATGTTTAAACTGAACGAAGCAGTAACCGTGTCCATGGGATTTTTATAGAACCTGATCCGAAAAAATAATTAATTTCTAATGTGTAACAGTCACGGAAACCTAAGATTTAACTCGAGAAGTTTTGGTTATTTGTATTTTACACGAGGTTACATTCCCACGAACTTTTAGCTATTTTTATTATTATTTGGGACTAGACGTAGACTGGAGTTCCTAATCCTATGTTGTGAATATTCCAAGGATTCGCACGAAGCGTTACAAGTCCACATTTATATGGCGAACGGTTAAAGAGTGGAATTCCCTGCCTGCAGATTTTCTTCAGACTTTCTTCTAGACACGTGCAATTTTGTATCGCTTATTCTCCGTGATTATGTACGTTCGTTTTAAGCAGAAGGCGCTCAAGAAAAAGAAAGTTACTCTCTTTTATACCTTAAGTATTCTCAATTCAATATATAGTAAGCTCTCTTCCGAGGATCTATCTAGTAACTAATTGTGTTGCCTTGGGCAAACACTTTCGTCTGGCAAGACAATTATACGAGATTAAAACCATTATTGCGATTAGTTACTGTATACACGACAAATACATAGGACATGGAATATTACGTTACGTAAACCTATTTAGGAAATACACATTTGCTACTTGTGTTTAAGATAATTATTTCTTTTTTTTAAATCAACCCCAAAGTTTGTGGAATTATTACGTCTATTTGCAAGTTTTACTGAAATTGGTTAACGGAAAACGCGCTACAATGGAAAAAAACATAGCAGGTGAGTCATTTTTAATACCTATATGTGAAGTGTGTGCCCCAAGAACTAGGTAAAAGTAATGTTTCTTCGTCAGAATCCATCGCGTTACTGAGTCAAAAGATAAAACATCACTAAAAATTTGGTCGCACTTCAGCAGCACGACAGTCGCGGTTGCAGCGTTTCTAACGGCGGCTAATTTGAACGCACCCATAGAGATGGAATATTTTCTTCAAATTTGAATGGTACTACTACTGAGGTACCCCTTTTCCAACAAAAAAAGAATCTTCGAAATCGCTTCGCAAATGTCGGAATAATCGCGTAACACACACACAAAAAATACAGTCGAATTGAGAATCTCCTTTTCTTGAAGTCGGTTAATATAACTGTAACTAATATATAGATAAAGATCTTTATCTATATATAAAATATAAAAAAGATAAAAAAGATCAATGAAATTTTAATCATTTCTCTTCTATAGATTTATCTATATATTTTTAGTTATTGACTAAACGATTATTACGGGTACTGCTTCAAACTGTCAAACCATACAGAAATTATAAAAACAAAATACGAACTTAAAACATTAATATTACTATTGATTATATATATTTTTATAATTTATTATGTATACTAACCACTTTCATAAAAAGGTAAAAAGGCCCAAAAACAGGTGTTACGCCGTAGGCAATGCAACCAGTGTAGCGACGACCTAAATTTTCCGCACCGCACTATAATACAATAGAGTCAAAATATGGTTAGCAACCTGCAATTAGCAATTAGCACGTTCAAACGTAAATTTAAACTGTATTTATTATACAGACAAAAAATATGTGACAAATTTCATCATCACTTTCCATCAGGTGAGATGGAAGACAAATGCACACTTATATTAGCATATAAAAAAAACAGTAGTTTGGGAATGCACTATTATAAATCATTATATTCAATTTAATTTATACGAGTTAATTTATAAAGATTAATCCATTTAACAAGAGAATTGGACATAGATTTTATTTATTTATTTATTTTACATCATAGATTTTAATATTTACTATAATATACTTATTTATGTAGATGATTTATTATTATATCATACATAATTATACGTATATATAAATATTAGGTATTTCGATTTAAATATTTTTGTCTGTAGTGTTTTATTTTAATATTTTAAATTTAAGATATGTTGTATGTTTAATATTTTAAGTTTAAGGTATGTGTATGTATTCATTGTCAGCGGTGTCCACTCCGTTCCTCGGCCACCACAGAATATCAGCGTTGGGTTGTTTTGCATGCACAACCCGACAAATACTGAGTGACAACCATTTTGGATCTCAATGTTTAATATTAAGATTTACTTTGTATTACTAGTAGAGACCAAATAAATATTATTTTCTTTCTTTCTAAGCAATGTAAATATTTAAATTTACTCATGTGTTAGTGTTTTACACGGTTATCTAATTTATCCAACGTTTTTTTCAGCCAGATCCTATACATGGACCAACACACGTATCAAATTCCAACCAACTACAGTAGAAACATTCCACCCGGTAAGTTCTCTTCTTGAAAACAATTTAATTTTCTACACCTCTCCAAAAACTGCGATAAGATCCAAGACCACACCATCAAAAGACGAATCACTTCAGAAAAAATCATCACCAACGGTGTGAAATTGAATTATTGAAGATTTATCCCAGCCTTCATTATTACCCTTAGCAGTTATCAAATGCATCGTTTTTAAATAACTAAGTATAGAAAGTTATTTTTGAATAAGGCTATTTTTAACACTGGATACTAATTTATGCTGTTCTAATGTCGGTATGAATTAGTACCTAGTGGGTATTGTAGAGTAACAAATAACAGTATGGCAGTGTACCTCAGGATGAACAAATAAATAAATAATGTAAGTACCTACTTTACTCAGTTACCAGTAATAGGTATACTTTTTAACCTCTCTCTCTCTCTATTTTATTACTACACGGGGAGTATAATAACTTTACTTACTCTATATAGCATATTATTTACGCCTTTTAAACAATAAATTGTAACTTGGAACGGTACTTATTTGTTATGTATTTTGGACGTTGGTTTTTTAAACAAACCTACGTTTCGTCAGTTGAGTGAATCTAGAGAATGGAATATGTAAAGAGCCCAAAACGTTGGATAGTTTGAAAAAAAGGACAAAAAATGCTGAAGAAAAACTTTCATAGATTTCTCACAGATGGCGTTGCGGCAAAAAAATCGTTAAAAACTAAAACAAAGATCTGCAATAAACACATAGAAAAAATTGTGAGGTTCATTGGTTCGTTCCGTGGCTTAGTTGGCATAGCAGTTTAGTAGCAGTAGAGCTCCTCTGCCTATTTCTGCCGCCAAGTAGTAATGACAGCATTACCGTGTTCCGGTTTTGAAGGGTGCTGGTGAAATTACAGGCATATGGGACTTGTCAACTTATATCTCAGGGTGACGGACGCAATGGCAGTGCCCCTCAGATCTTTACGATTTAAAGCTCTGAGGACACTGCAAATGTTATGAACAGGCGTGTAGCTTACCATCAGGCGCACTACTTGTTCATCCTGTCAATAGATATTATAAAAAAAAGAAAATAGCGTCTGGCACGGTTTGCTGGAAGACGATGGTTCGAATACAACCGCATTGAATTTTTTTCCTAGGGTTCGATCTTTGTTTAATTTGTTAGTAGTTTCACAAAAAATCAATTCTTTTTATGGTGGTAAAACATCAGAATGTTTCACCACCATAAAAATATAATAACACTTAATTTTTTTTAAATACTTTCATTTCCTATGAGTAACATTCGCCTTGTATGCAAACATGCTTGGTTAATAACGTAAAGTTTATTTCGTAACTCTTTGTTGTCATTATCAACATAGGATTCACATGTCTGTGTCGAATAGTTCAAACAATGTGTTTATGTATATTTGCGTCCATTTTAATACCTAAATTATTTCAAGGCATGTCTCGTTATGCCTTCCGTAGGAACTCGTAATATAAAAAAGTAGTAATGTTGGGTTGTAGGTACTTCAATTATTCAGTTTCGACAGCAACCACTTTTGATATCGGTAAGGGGATATTTGGAATTGTAGAGGCTTCTTAAGTACTGCATAATTTTAATCAACATAATTACCCATATTATTAAAATACAAATAACACTTTAAAACATCCTTTATATTTTTCATAATACACTTTAATACATCTAGTACCTCAGAATACAAATAACCCACTTTACGTCACATGAAATCTCTGCCAAGGTATTTTAATCTATGTAACCGAACTGGTGCCGCATCCATCCACTTAAGACCGGAAGTTATTCAGCAGAAAAGCATAGAGGCCGCCACAGGCCTTTAACCCATCATTAGTCAACCTGTAATCGCTGGTAGTTAGACAGATACCACTTCTAATTGGCTTTCAGTCTTGTAAAGACGTCGGTAAATAATGAATAACTATTTAGGAATTAATAATCATACCTCGCGTTATAGACCTGAAACAACTTACAATAGACCTGACTTTAAGAAGGTTTCAATGTCTGTATATTAAAAAATTATATCGTATCCTATTTAGTCTCGAATTTTGCACGCGCATAAACGTCGATAACAATTACGTCTTTCGGTGCTTGTCGAAGTGCATTATTTATTCAGCATACTTACATTAATTACCTGGTCTCAAAGTAGAAAATTCCATATGCTATGAGTACTAGAAGTACATTCGCCGGTTTGCAAAAACAATGTGTAATCTCTAAAACATCGAGATGTATAGATAATACGTTGTTCTGGCAAACGGGCGATATACTACGAGCAGAGAACAAAAAGTAATGAGAACGGACACTCTCCGCCCCTCCCTAGCTTTAGATACCGCACCATGCCCAGCACTTTGACGGTCACATTGACTGCACGACAACAAGGCTGTCGGTGAGCTTTTTCACGCTAAGACGGCTTTGATATTTGAATATTGTTTTCATTTGATCATTACGAAACTTGTACTTTAATATACAACATAATTTAATTGTACGTTACTATTTATAATGGCCGTGAATTATGCTCTGTACGGCTGTTTGTGGTCAGAAACTCATCTCTTTATCCCGTCTAAACGGGATAAAGAGACGAGTTTCTTTCGTTTTCTGAAAGGTGAAACGAAGTAAGTAAAAAAAAACTTATGTCTGAGACTCATTCGGTTTTTTTTTTCATTAATATAGTGCAGAGTCATATATAATACAAATTGAAAAATATATAATACAGATTATATCAATATAAATACCTAATAAACATGTGTATAATTACACTAATCTTAATAATTTAGGATTCTATTAATAGAATTTTAGATAACTGATTCGCGTTAGAAATTTCGCTAAGTCGCCGCGCTTATCATATAATACGAGTACGAGAATGTGATGGGTAACCCTGCCACTTCACGCACACATTTGCGCGTGTGCAGATAGCGCTTGGCTGTATGTAGTAATAGTAGGTAAATAACTTTCGACCATTGTATGGAGTGTCCGGGGTGTGCTATGAGTACAAGCAACGGAATTGATTCTGGGGTACTACTACGTAGAACATCCAGACCAGAACCAATTTAGAATAGTCAGTTTTTCAATTTAGTTCTACCGGCAATGCAAACCATCGGGCTACCGTTACTTATTCGTAATTTTATGTTTCAAGTCAATACGACTAGTTGCTTTTGTTGCGAAGTACTTACTTTAACTTTAAAAATAAATTTAAAATAAATTTTAAATGGATCGAGTTGGAATGTTGAAGGGATGACAAATATACTGATGATGGGTTGTGTGAGTGTGAGTGAGGGTGGGATTAGTGCAAGCCTTTGTTTGGGGCTCCCGTATGAAAGATGACTCACTCACGGAGAAAATCGTCGCGCTCCTGAGGAGACCTCAGAGGGTGATGGCCGCCGAGGTTATCAGAGGATATCGCACCATATCCTACGAGGCGGCGTACTTGTTAGCGGGGTCTCCTCCTTGGGACCTGGAGGCGAGGGTCTATGTTGCCATGTATCAATGGCGCATTCACCTCCGTCTCCGGGAAGAGGATCCCACGCTGCGGGAAGTGCAGGTATGGAAATCCCTTGCGCGACAGTCCCTGCTGAGAAAATGGAGGGAGCGACTGGCTCAACCCAAAGCTGGGAGTAAGACTGTGGGAGCTGTCAGTCCGGTTTTTGAAAAATAGATGGACAGGGCGCATGGGTCTTTAACTTTCCGGCTGATGCAGGTGCTTTTCAGGCTTGGATAAATCGGAAGGTACCTATGTCATATAGCCAGGAGGGAACCGACAACCGAGTGTCACCATTACGAAGACAAGCACGGCCAGCGAGTGCCGTGATCTAGTTGCCGCAGTGGGAGACGACCTGTGACTTCCAGCATGAATTAAATCAATGCTGGAAAGTGACAGGTCGTGGAAGGAGGTAGTATCCTTCTGAGAACGCGTGATGTCGCAGAAGGAAGCTGGGGAGCGGGAGATAGAGGTCATCATGCACCCACTTTCCGATCCGCAGCAGTAGAGTCGGGCGTCTGAGGAGGCTCATATCATACCTTCCTTCAACCCTCACAACAGGGGTTTTGGCGCTGGACACGGGGGCCGGATACGCGCCCCTGTTAGTGATGAATGAGGTGGAGTGTCTACAGCTCCACTCCAACGGGAAGGCTGGGCGAACGCGAAGGCCAGAGCCGTCGGTACCGGGCAAGAGTGCGGTAAAAAGTGCGGTGACGGAACACCGTGGGGTTTTAGCCGGTAGGAGTCCGACATAATCTCTCTGTTGCACCCGCAACAGAAAGATGAGATTTTCCCTACGTAGGTATAGAAAAAAAGCTGGCAATCTTTGACGCAAAACCCAAAAACCCTACCTGCTATCACATATGTTAATTGAGTTATGTTTTCAAATAATTTGTCTACAAACTTAAAAAACATGACAGTTAACCATACCTTCATGGTCTTATTGTACTCCCAGCAGAAAAAGTAAAATTATAAACAAATTGTAATTGTAAATATTTTCATATTCAAGGATGCAACTTATTCTTCTACTAGTCAATAAAAGGAAAACTTTGATAAATCAAACTAGA